CCCGAGCAAAAACACTAATGATCGTCTGCCTTCTCCACACTAGGCAACTCCTTCAACGCTTCTCCAATCGTGGCAATGGCACCACGTAGCTCCTCCTCCGAGATGACAAGGGGCGGCGCAAATCGGATAATGTTGCCGTGTGTCGGTTTGGCCTGCGATTCACACCTGTTAGACCCAGACGTCATCACATACTCGTGTACTCACCAAAACACCCTTCTCCTTCAGCAGAATACAAAGGTCCCAGGCAGTTCGGCCGGCCGCAGCTGACTCGTCAATGACAACAGCATTCAAGAGACCCTTTCCGCGGACCGTCTTCACAATGGGCGACTGGAAGGCGCTCACACCCTCTCGGAAGATACGGCCGAGCTTCTCTGCCTTCTCGACTAGCTGCTCCTCCTCGACCAGTTCGAGGGCCCGGATGGATACGGCACATCCCAGAGGGTTGCCGCCGTACGTGGATCCGTGAGTGCCAGGCTCAACCACGAGCATGACATCCTTTCTGGCCAGGACGGCGCTCACCGGGTACATGCCACCCGAGATGGCCTTACCCAGCGTCACCATATCCGGCTTGATACCAGCCCACTCGGAGCACAGCATGCGGCCGGTGCGCGCGATGCCCGTTTGGATCTCGTCACAAATCAGGAGGACGTTGTGCCTGTTGCAAAGCTCGGCCACTTTCTTGAGGTAGTCGTCGTCGGGAACCACAACGCCCGCCTCGCCTTGGATGGGCTCGACAATGAAAGCGGCCGTTTCGTGGCCGTGGGCTTCGAACGCCTCCTCGATGTCGGCCACATTATTATATCGAATCGTCTTGCCAGTCGATGGCACGACGGCGCCGATGTTGGGGACGTAGGGACCGTAGTTGTCACGCGACTCCGGGTCGGTAGACAGGGAAATAGCAGTCATCTACACCATGGACGTGGTTAGAGGTTGGGCGGACAGATGCGACAAGACGTACCGTGCGGCCGTGGAAGTTGTCGGCGACACTGAAAACAAGAGCCCGACCCTGCGGGACACGCTTGACCTTGTAGGCCCACTTGCGGGCGATCTTGATGGCCGTCTCGACAGCCTCGGCGCCCGTGTTCATAGGCAGCACCATGTCGAAACCAAAGACGCGGCGGACCTTCTCGGCCCAGACGGGGAACACGTCATTGTAGAAAGCTCGCGAGCTGAGCGTCAACCGAGAAGCCTGCTCAGTGAGGGCCTTGATCAGCTCCGGGTGACAGTGGCCTTGGTTGACAGCACTGTAGGCAGAGAGGAAATCAAGGTAGTGCTTGCCCTCAGGATCCCACACGTGGACGCCCTGGGCCCGCGAGAAGACGACGGGCAGGGGGTGGTAGTTGTGGGCGGCGTACTCGTTCTCTGCCGCGATGGCGCCCTTGGTCGACGTGGCGTGGTACCGGGCAGACCCGAAGGCCGTCTTGGAGCCGGGCGCGTCGTTATCGGCGTGGGGAGCCATGGTTGGTGCCGGTGCGACGGCTGTCGGGGCGGCGGGACGGGTGTGTCTAGGTCGGCTGTAGTGAGATCGAGGAGAGGGGCTGTGAGCAACGTCGGGCCATCAAACGCTGTGGGCCAAGGGATCCGTGGAATGTAGGACGTGTCCAAATGCGCCCCACTGAGACCAATTGGTGTTGAAGAAGCAGACACTTGCCAGTGGGCAGGTGGAACAAGGACTGGCGTGGCCGAAGTAAGGCTTGCTAGAAGCAATTCGGGTCCGAAGCAAGGAACGGAGGGGGTTCCGGCGTGTTGAGAAGAAAGGAACGAAGTAAATGAGGGGAAGGCACGGAAGGGGGGGCCGGCCCCTAGTATAAATGGAAAGAACGGGGAGCAGTGGAGGGGTGGCCCGGCACCTACCCTTCCTGATGGCAAAGGGCCGAGTGTTACGGATCCGTAGGCGGCTCCGAGCCCAACCGCCACCGCTATACCCCTAAGTGACAAGACCCCGCGAGGCCATGATGCACAATGACAGGGAGCGGAGCGTCGGACAAGGCGCGGCATGACGGCACTGGTCACCCAGGCCGTCACGTGGCCGCATCTGATCGAGATCGAGCCGAAGCAAGCCGGCCTGGATTACGAGAGAGAAAAGGGGCCATTGATTGCGGCCATCCGGTGCTTCCAGCGAGTTGGCCCCGGAATCCACTGCTCGCTCGAAGTGCGCATCTCTCAGTTCTCTCAAACGTCCGAATTTGCGGAAGAGATGGCCGGGGTGAATGTCCGAGGCCGATCGCGGCGGGATGCAAAAAGGTTGTGGCAAAGGGTCCGCTCCATCGATTCCAGATCCGGCACCGGCAGCCAATCAGCGGCCGGTGGATTACCTCGCAGACGGTAGGGCTGGAATCAGCCAATGACAGCTGGCTGCGGCTGCGACGCGGTCGGTGATGCCACCTGGCGACCGTTGAGAGGCGACGGGCCGCACGACCAAGACACGGACAAGTTACAAACATCCGAACTCAACAAGACATTCAATATCGGGTCTGTTCGGCTGCCGGCATGGCCAGCAATTCCAGCGCAGATGCGACTCCGCATGCGCAGCTCAAGGCCGAAGCACAGGCGGAACTGAGGAAGGCGGCGCTCAGCAAGAAGTCGAACCCCTCTGAAGCCTCCGAAGCCACTCCAGCGCCGCAACACAGACCCCTCTACGTCGAGGTCGACTCGGCCCAGGTCAAGGATGTGCTCGCCGTGCTCTTGGTTCTGCGCTTCATCAATGCCCTCTGTGTGCGCACCTTTTTCCAGCCTGACGAGTACTTTCAGGCGCTCGAGCCGGCATGGAATATTGCTTTTGGGCCACAGAGCGGTGCTTGGCTGACCTGGGTATGTCTTCCCCTTTATTAGTGCGACGCACTTGCTAATGTAAACAAAAGGAATGGCAGCAACAACTCAGGTCGTCATTGCACCCAGCCCTGTTTGGGCTGGTCTACAAGGCTGCTCATACACTCATGTCAGGGCTGGAAGTGTTTGAGCCTGCTAGGGCAAGGATTCTAGTGATGTTGCCAAGCCTGGTGCAGTCGGTGTTTGCTGCCCTCGGGGATTTTTATACTTGGGCACTGGCGACCGAGATCTACGGCGTCGAGAGCAATGTCCCTTGGGCTGCCGTCAGTTCATGAGCTCTCTTACCATCCATGTCACTGACGGCCTCGTTAGTTCTGGATGACCATGGTCAACCCATGGCAGTGGTACTGCTCTACCAGGACCTTCTCCAACTCGCTCGAGACCACCCTGACCATTGCGGCCCTGTACTACTGGCCATGGGAACTCGTGAAGGATGCAAAGACGTCGAAAGACGGATCGCCACTGTTGAGCGACCTGAAGAGGTAATGCCGTCCTTTCTGTGGTTATCACGTGCTGACTTGTGCCAGCCTCCGGGCTTCTCTCATCCTCGCCGCCGTAGCCGTGCTACTCCGGCCGACAAACATGCTCATATGGCTTGGCATTTTGATCCTCACGTTTACGCGCTTCACCCTGGATGGCCCGTCGCCTCTACAGGCAGCGACCGTTTTCAAGCTCGTCAGAGAAATCGTGCTTTGTGGGCTGACAGTGCTGGCCATTTCCGTAGCGTCTGACCGTCTGTACTTTGGGTTCTGGACATTTCCGCCCTACAAGTTCCTCTACTTCAACATCTCGCAGTCGCTCGCCGTCTTTTACGGCAAGATGCCATGGCACTACTACCTGTCCCAAGGCATACCCCTGTTGACCACCACATTCCTCCCCTTTGCCCTCGTCGGCCTGTACAAGTTCGGCCTCTCCCTGTCACCCTATTCTCCCTCGCAATCCGGCCTTGATATCCTCCAGTCCAACACCCTCCGCACCCTGGCCGTGACCGCCATCACCACGGTCGCCACGCTCTCGGTCATCTCCCACAAAGAAGTCCGCTTCATCTACCCGCTCCTCCCTCTCTTCCACATCCTCGCGGCCCCATACATCCTCGGCTTCTTCACCACCCCATCCACGTCCCCCTCGCCCACAGGACCCGTCGGCCTCCGCCACAAGCTCTTCCTCGCCAACATCCTCTCCATCAACCTCCTCCTAGCCGGCTACCTCTCGCTCTTCCACCAGCCCGCCCCGCTTTCCGTCGTTAATTTTCTCAGAACCGACTTTGAACGGCTCCACCCCGACTCCCTCTCCCTCAACTCTTCCGTCCCGCTCTCCAACGACACAGAGCTATTCGCCCTCTTCCTCACGCCCTGCCACTCAACCCCCTGGCGCTCCCACCTCGTCTATCCAGCCCTCCGCGCGCGCGCTCTGACCTGCGAACCGCCGCTGCATACCGCCCCCGACAGCCGCGAGCGGGCGACGTACCTCGACGAGGCGGACCGGTTCTACGCGCACGACGAGGAGTCGGGGACATATGGACTTGCGTTTCTGCGGGACGAGATGTGGCCTTCCCTTGTGCAGTCGGAGAAGATGGCTAGGCCGGAAGATGGAATGCCGCGGTATATAGTCGGCTTCGAGGGGATCGAGGACGTGCTCCTCCGGTTCTTCAGCATGAACGGGGACGGATGGAATATGGGCGTGCGGTTGGTGCGGGTCTGGGAGGGCTGGAACGGGCTGTTTAATGAGGACTGGCGGAGGAGGGGGAAGTTGGTTGTTTGGGACACGGGGGTTTTGGACCGGGACTATCTCTAAATATGGTGGTTGGGAAACCCCATGCCTCAAAGACAGGGTGCTTTGGAGGTATTTGTTGGGACTGTATTATAGCGTGAACAAAATGGTGTATATCGATCGATGCTGGTCATCATGTCGTGTCCTGGGATTTCAAGCATTCCTTAGTAGCCGTGAGCCAAAGATGGTACTCCGTATCGCTCCCACAATTTCCCCATCCAATTCATAACAACTGCAAATTTCCAACACAAGAGCCACTCAAAATGAAACCGTTCCAACTCCTCTGTATTCTTCTTACCTGCACCATGCACCATCTAAAATCACCCGATTTCGAATGAGAATGATAGGTGGAGAGGACCTCCACCTCTCCCAAAAAAAGATTCTCAAAAAATAATCAACAATGCAGCTGCTGTGGATCGAACACAGTGCCTTCAGATTGTTTTCCTTATATAGGAAGACCAAAGTGGACTTCAGTCTGACGCTCTCCCAGATGAGCTACAGCTGCTGTTTTTGGTTGTTTTGGTTGATGAGGTTTGGGTCTGGTAACTTGTTTCTTGTAGTCCCCCCTCTGTCCCTGCCCCCTTTTTTTCGATTACTGGGGATAATTTTCGATGCTTGCGGGGATATTTTGGGGAGATTGCATTGTTGATGTAAAGTGTTTTTCTTTCTATTTATTAGATTTCGCCGTAGTGCGGCTTCCCTACCTAGGTCACCTTAGTTGATACGCTTTAGTGTATGGGACGTGGTTGAACCCGTCTGGTCCTGCTTTTGGATGAGATCGCTGGATGGGTATGGTGGCTGCTCGTGCAATTAGACTATAGGTACCTGATTGACCGGCCTTCTGAAAGGATTGGCTAAATTCTAAGGTTAGCACTTTAGAATTCTAACTGTGGGTATATGCAAGAATGATCTAGGACCGTGACTATAGCGAGGGATGGGGGGCAAATAAGCTGGGAGAGGAGGGCCGACGGGGAGGGCGGTGCCGTCGTTCACCCGAGACTCAATGGGTTGAACTGCGGTAGTGCTAATAGCGCTCAAGCCAGTTGATATATCTGCGGATATCCATCACTGGGGCATAGTTCCTAGAGAACGAGGTATTTTTATTTCTGCAGCCGCCTCTTCGAGACGGCGATATCTCGTAGAGCCATATACGCTATTTTATCCCAACACTTGACACAGACCGTTCACCAATGGTACAAGCGTTCCGCACTCGGGGCTCACGGCATGTAGAATTAATCTGCCTTCCTCCAGATAGGAGGAAATATCCCTTACAAGCAGAAGAGATATTCATTGTCCTGTTTTCCCCTACAGACGTCCCAACCACCCTCGCCCAACCAACCAAAATACACCATATAAACGCAATCCGCTGTCCGGAAACACACTACACATCACGCCACAAATCCACGCCATACTTCAAATTCAACATAACCATAATGGGTATTGCTACCATCCTATCCCAGACAGCCTCATGCTTTTCCTTCAAACACCAAAAGTGACTGACTCGCTAATTTCCTCACGCTCCCACCGCGCCCGCGCACCGCTAGACTCCCACGCCACACGCACCCTACATCATCCCAAAGTGTCCTAAATATTCCATCCTGAGATCGGCCCCGCCCGGCTCGGAAACCCACTAGGATCGAGCCTCTTCCAACTCCAACTCGAGCTGCCGGATCCGCTCGCTCTGCTCCTGCGAGCTTGGCCCGACTCGCTTCTTCAACGCCTCAACATCCGCCGCAAGCTGGGCAATGATCCGGCTCTGCGCCGTAATCTTATCGCCCTGCGCTGTGATCATCTGGTTCTGGTGCTCAAACAACTGCTTGATCTGGTCAAGCATGGATCCATCCGTCGGGGCCGCGGCGGCAGCCGGACGACTCATCACTGGCGACTGCGGCGCCTTGACCGGCGAGGGCGGCTTGGCTACATGGACGGGCGCGGCGGCGGCAACTGGCGAGCGAACCGGGGCAGCTCGAGGGGCTGGCCTGGAAATCTCCTCAAAGCTCGACGTCTCGGCCTCGTCATCCGAAGACTCTTCGTTATCCTGGTACTTGTTCGCCATGTTGGAAATCGACGCCTTTTGCTCGGAAGCCGTCGGAGGAGCACGGTAAGCGGCCGGAGCTGGCTCGGATTCCTTCTTCAGCGTGGGAGCGACAACCGGGGCCTTCACCGGGGCAGGCGGCTTGAAGTCCGCGGGTACTTCAACGGGTGCGGTACCCTCGTAGATGCTCTCCAGATCGATCTTGGCAGGAACTCCCGTCTTTCCATCGAGCCACTCGGCAGCAGTCATGGCAGGCTTCAGCCCAACCGCAGGAGGATAAATATCCGACTGGAAAGTCTCGGCTCGACGCGGGACGGTAAATGAGATGGGCTCGATGTATGTGTCGTTGACAGTCTTGAAAGCTCTCATGACTTCGTTTTCATGGACCTATTCAATTAGTCTCTATCTAATACCATGCTGTCCGGACCTACGTTGATACCGCGCCGGGGCAAGAAGGCGATTCCTCTCTGGGGTTCGGCGGACTTGTACTCGGAAAGGAACTCAAACTTGTCATTCTCGTATTCAAAGTATCGGATGTTTCCGTCACTGTCAGGGTCAGTTTCGCCCTTGTCACTCTGCAAAGCAACTTACCCCTTTCCGGCGATGTAAAGACAGTTGGATCCATCATCTGCTCGAGTTAGAGAGCGTCAAGTTAAGGAACTTCCACACTCACCCCAGAACGGCATGCAGACTCCCGAGATCGAGTCCAGCGAGTTGAATCCCCCGATGGGGTCTTTTCGACCAGGCTCCCAGAGTCCGATCTGCCGCTCGCTCATCCGGGAGAAACCAGTAGTAGCAATGCGGTTGTGCTCGCCCATCCACACAGCGCGACTGTTCTTGGCACCCTCATGGCCCGGGTGTTCGTGGACCGGTTGCTGCTGGCGGACATCCCACACACGTAGCTTCTTGTCTCGCGAAGTTGTCACCAGGAAATTTCCATTGGCGCTCCACGAAAGACTCTGTACAATATCGGGATGCTTGAGCGTCAGCGGCGACTGGCCGGTGCCAATATCCCACAGCTTTATGGTGAGATCGCCCGATGCCGACGCAAGGATATTCTCGGCGGCGGGGTTGAACAGGACCTGACCGACTTTTCTGGGGGGTGTCAGCCTGGAATCTAGCGGGGGTCAGGCGACTCACCTCGAGTGCCCGGTCAGTCGGCTGGTGGGAGAGACATCGGTGACCTCTTCGGCGTCCGTGTAGAGAGTGAAGCCTTGGGGAACCTGCCAGATGAACACCTTGCCATCGTCCGAGGCCGAGGCGATGATTCGATCGTTGAAGGGGTGCCAGTCGGTATCGAGGACGGCGGCGGTGTGTCCACGAAAGAGAGGTATTTGGTCAGGCACCTTTCCTCGCTCGTTCAGGGGGATGACAGCAAATGCGCCACCACCGCTCGACTCCCAATTGACCGAGAGGTATTCTGGGTTGGCCTGTGACGAAGGCTCGGGTCAGCACGCGACCAGCGGACCAGAGACGGGGGGCGCACCTTGACCAGGTTCGTATCCCAGGCATTGCGGCTGATGTGAAGATTATCGTAGCAGAATTCCTTTCTGGTACTCTTTCCAAAGACGTGTCCTGCATCGCGGCGGCATGGGCCGGTCGTGGTTAGCAAGTGGCCGACGCACTGTGGTGGGAGCTTTATTGGAGCTCGGGCGGATGCGTGTCGCACTCACGATATTTCGACGCGCGCACAAACCGTCCAGCCATGGTGGTGTCTCTGGGGGGGGGCGGCAGCAGCAGGCTCGGCTCGATCGGGAGGAGATGATTAACAAATGCGCCGAAAAGATGGTGGCTTGAAGACAGTTGAAGATCGAGGCTAACTTGTTACCTCCGTGAGATGGAGCAGCTGAGGCGGGGCATGGCCGTGGTCCCTGCAAGGTATTCCCCACATGGCGTTTCTTGGCAACCCCTCCATGTCGATCAGACCGACATTCAGACTTGACGGATTCCAGGTACCGGACGGATTAGAACGAACTAATACGAACAGCTGGGACTACTATTTCCTAGCAGTTTATTGATTTGCAATGTTTGGTCTATATGGAGAATGTGATCTATTGGACTGCAAGCAGACAAGTGCAGGATGTCCGCGTGCTAGTTGACAGGTGTGTATACCGTCTTTCCTGGTACCATAATCACAGTATGAATATGTTTGCTATGTATCTGTAGACATGTATCGCCGGCATTGGATCTAGTGCAAGACCTAATGTGCTGTGATGCTTGGCTGGAGCATGGAGTTGCCAGAACCGTAGTGTAGCTCTTTCAAGTCATTCAAGCAAAAAAGGTCTTGGAAACGTTGACGTTGATTGGGGACTTTGGGCTTGCTTGGCGCTGCGACCAACCAGGAAATCTCCAAATAAAGCTCCGACGCGGCTCGACATCTTATCGATCAACGTTCCTGAATTCCGCCAAATTGCGCCCTCCTCGCTATCCCCAGAAGCTTTGTCGACGCAACTTCCTGGGGGCAGACTACACTTCATCTGCATCAACGTATTCTATTTGGACCGGCAACCCCAGCCATCAGGAGCAAGAGCTGCAGCGCACAAGACAAGTCAACCGCGGCCATGGCTGGCAAAGGCAAGTCCCGATGGGCCGACGACGAGGACGACCTAGCCGCCGAAGCACAGCGCAAACGGGAAAAGGAAGAGAAGAAGAGGCTAAAGGCCGAGAAGGCGCGCAAACAAGAAGAGGAAAATGCAGCGCGCGAAGCTGGCCCATCGAGCGCGCCGAGAGAAGGACCAGCCCGCGACGATGAATACGAAGACAGGCCACCGGCGAAACGACGACGACTTTCTCCCGAACGCACGGCACCTGAAGTCTCGAGCAACCCCAATGCCAGCTCGAAACTGCTCCGCTTCGAGGGCGGCACCTTCGGGCGATCCCGAAGTGTCGAAAACTACAACAAGCTCAATGATATCGAGGAGGGCGCATACGGCTGGGTGGCACGGGCACAGGATCGGGACACAGGCAAGATCGTGGCATTGAAGAGGTTAAAGATCGATCCCAAAGATCGCAGTGGGCTGCCTGTTACCGGGCTACGGGAGATACAGATCCTCAAGGATTGCGATCACAAGAACGTGGTCAAGCTGCGGGAGGTGGTGGTGGGGGATGATACGACCACGATAGAAAAGTATGTCAATCATGACTGCTGATCCTTCTGTCTGCTAACACTTGCCAGCATCTTCCTCGTTTTGGAATTCGTCGAGCACGATCTCAAGAGCATACTCGAGGACATGCCCGAGCCATTCCTCGCCTCCGAGATCAAAACGCTCCTCCTCCAGCTAGCCTCGGGAGTCGCGTACCTCCACGACAACTGGATCCTACACCGAGATCTCAAAACCTCGAATCTCCTCCTCAACAACCGTGGCCAGCTCAAAATCGCCGACTTCGGCATGGCCCGCTACGTCGGCGACCCTCCGCCACCAAAACTGACACAACTGGTCGTCACGCTCTGGTACCGCGCGCCCGAACTG